GTGATTCCTGCTGTGGGTGGCCTGTGTGGCCAAGGACCCTGGCTGTGCAGGACACTCAACGGCAGGCCGGGGACAGTTCATCATCAGGACTGCAGGCCATGTACGCAGTTGTGGGACAGTTGGGCTAGCCATCGTCAAGGGCAATCATTTGTGCTGTTGTTTCCATGCTTTTTCAGGGAAGAGAATTCCAGCCCCTGAAAGCAACATCTGCTGTCATTATTGCAACCAAATGATCCCAGGAAATAAGTATTTCCACCATGTGGTGAGTAGAAATTAGTTATTTTCTAATGGTGCCAATAGCTAGTCCATATTCCAAAAAGTGTGATATGAAAGGTAGATTCTGGGTCCAATTTTACACAGCATGGATAACAGAGGTTCCCATATTTAGTTTTGCTTTGTTCAAAAAGGGATGTTGTGAATTGGGGTAAGCTAATTTAGCACACATAATTGGTGCTCCCATCGTGCCAGCCCTTCAAGGAGCCTCCCTGATCAGTCCAGCTATCATTGATCACCTCCAAACATCTTCAGCCTTCAGGGCCTGGACATGGCAATTTGGTCCTTAATAGGACCTGCCTTATTATTTTCTGTCCCATGCGGGAGTCTTCTCAATTAGACTGTGAGCTCCCTCGAAAAAGTTAACAACTTTCTCCATCTTCCCACAGTGAAACTGATATCAGGGCTAGGTACCAAAAGGGGGACTCTGTAAAGATGTCACGATGTGATTGATTGATTGATTGCTTTTGCCTGGGAACATTCACAGGCTCCTCCCTCCATCACTCTGAGCACATTTTAGTGCATTAGTGTGGGCCAAGCTGCTCCCTTCTTTTGCAGGATGGAGCATTTTCTTTCTGGGGAAACTTCCTAAGGCTTCTCTCCAAAGAGCTCATTTCGTTCTGCTTGGATGGAGCGCTGTTTGTCCTTTCTTTACCCTTCAATTCAGAGAAATATGAATATCAGAACTAAAGAGACCCTAGGGATGATCTAGACCTTTTTGTTTATTGTGGGACAATACATACAAAATTTACCATTAGTGACATTTAGTGCATTTTAATAGGAATACTTGACTTAATAAAGTCTAAATTAATCATATTCCCTACCCTCCTTACAAACAGTATATGGATTTGAGAACACGTTGACTCCGATTCTCTATTCCCACCTTATATGTAAATGCTATGGAATTTAGTTTCACCTTGGTTTTTTTTTTTTTTTTTTTTTTTTTTTTTTG